ACCCCAGTCCATTTGCAAGGAGGGCTCTACATAAGAAACCTGAAGCACCACACTCCAAATTGATCGACGCTATTTGGAAATTTGCACTAAATTCAGGAAGGAAATAACATTTTAAAAGTACGCTCTGCAAAAAAAATAGAAGCAATTAAAAAAAAACCCAAACCCTTGCGGTTCCTTATTTCCTTTCTACCCTCTAATTTCTCCATTTAACAAAAAACAGGAAAAAAAAAATCTTTTTTCCCAGAACTATAAAGTCACCTTTAAAAAAAAAAAAAAATTACTTGCAAAAAGCTGCATTTTAGCGTAAGGGGAAAGGAAGGAAAACTTTTTTAAAAAAAAAAAAAAAGCACGCACACACCATAAACAATTTCTAAGAAGTTCATTTCTGGCTAATCAGCGCTTGCCACCGCCTTCACTTCCTGCAGTGAGAAGGTTTTCGACCGCCGAATGATAGAATTGAATGAAAGAGTTTTAGAAAGAAAAAGGAAAAAAAAACACACAATAACCGGTTGCATGAGATTTTAAAGATCGCAGGTTTGGTTCAATGCGAGTCGTAAACAAATCTTGAGTGGGAAGGTGGAAAGCCGCAGAGCGTCTAGCCGAAAGAAGAAGAGGAGAGAGAGAAATATATATATATATATATATATTTGGTTTAAAGCGACTTACTTTCATTCCTTCGTCGGCATTCACCTTGCTGCAGTGCAGGAGTTCAATAGAATACGGCTGCTCCAGGGACCACAAAGATACGCAGGTCAGCTAAAACACAGGAACAAGGAGAAAAGAGAAAAAGAAATTGGATTTCATTATTATTATTGGTTCAATTTATTGGTTCAATTTACATGCCGCCCTCCTCCGGAGAATCAGGGCGGCTTACAATGCATTAAGCAATAGCCTTCATACTTTTGTATATACCTGCTTAGTAGGGCTTTTGCCCCCCCCCCCAAAGCGGTGTTCTTTTTTATACAAAGTCAGTTTATTGCCCCCACAATCCGGGTCCTCATTTGACCTACCTCGGAAGGATGGAAGGCTGAGTCAACCTTGACCCTGGTGAGATTCGAACTTGCAATAATTGCAGGCAGCTGGTGCTATTTAACAGCACTTTAGTCTGCTGCGCCACCAAGGCTCTTCATGGCTAATTTTGGCGGGTTTTGGCCCCCAAAAGGTATATAGCTAGCCCCCGGTATAACTATTTAAACTTCCCCTGCAAAGATGGATTGGCGAAAGTTTTAAAAGTCAGCCTTGAATTAAAATCGTCCTTCCTGTCTCCTGAACACCCCTGCGAGGTAGGACGTATCACACAAAGGTTGGGATTTGAAGAAAGAAGCACTGAGGATGAAGTGGGGGGGGGCAGAGGCCAGACCCCATAACTCAGGGGTGAAATCTACTTACCTTCCTTACTGTTTCGGAAGACTCGCAGACCCTCTGCGCGTGCGCAAAGGGTAAAAACACATTACTTCCTGGTTAAAACCAGGAAGTGACGACACCCGGGTGGATGGGCGGAGCCTCGCGCCGCCATCGCTACCGGTTCTCCGAACCACCTGCCACAATCGCTACCGGATTGGCCAATCCGGTTTAAACTAGGAGCATTTCACCCCTGCCATAACTTCAACCAAAGGACTCTGCACCAGCCTCCCAGGGAACTGCTTCATTTCCAAACAGAATTTTTTAAAAAAAACATTGCAACATCATTTCAGACAAGTGGCCGTCCGGTCTTTTCTTCAAAACCTCCAGTGATGGAGTACCTACAACTTCTGGTGGCAAGTCGTTCCGCTGGTTAATTGTCCTCCCTGTTAGGAAGTTTCTCCTTAATTCCAATTTGCTTCTCTCCTTGGTTAGTTTCCATCCGTTGTTTCTTGTCCTGCCTTCTGGTGCTTTGGAAAATAGGTTGACCCCCTCCTCTATGGGGCAGCCCCCCCTCCAATATTAGAACACTGCTATCATGTGTCCCGTCCCTCTCCCCCACTCCTTCTTTTCTGAATTTGAAAAATCATTTGTTTTTATGCAACAGTGAATGAAAAAAAAACATTATACCGGTTACCTTCTGCTTAGGGCTCAGAGACAGTTTGGGGGCTGTTTTGGGGGGATGCCCCAGCCCGTTGCTCTGTTCTTCCCGCAAACTCAAAAGAGAGGATCTGTGGACCATAATGAGGTGGGGGACGAAACGCCGGTGGAGGCATTCGCGGATGTACTGAGGGGAAAGAACAGATCCCATTAACGCCTCAACCAAAAACTTCAAACGCTAAACCAAATCAGTGAAATTGGGAATAAAATGAAACAAGGCTCAAATCCCGGAAACAGAGTCCTAAGAACTTGGACAAGTTTAAAACCAAACTCAAGGTTCTAGCCCCTGTGAAGGAAAGGGGGCACATAAATACAGGGGTGGGATTGAAAAATTTTAGCAACCGGTTTCGCTGCCCGGTTGCTGGGTGGGTGTGGCTTACTCGGCCTCCTGCACCACGGTGTGGGGGGGGCGTTTTTGCTCTCCCCAGGCTCCGGAGGCTTTCCTTGAGCCTCCAGGAGGGTGAAAATGGCCTCCTCGGGCTCAGGAGACCAGAAACGGGCACGTTTCCAGACTTCCGGTAGGCTTGTTTTTCGCCCTCCCAGAGCCTGGCATCCAAAACAGGCCGCTTGGAGACTCCTGGGAGGAGAGGGGTGGGCGGGTCCTTGCCACTACCGGTTTGGCAAACCGGATTAAAATTAACATCCGAACCGACTGAATCCCACCCCTGCATAAATAGCGAAAAAGGACTGTGTTGTGTTTGGAGGCCCCGGCAACCGGGGACGCCACTCTGGGATTGGTTTAGAGGCGTGGCCTCCTTTAAGCGGGAGTATCCGGGGTTCCTGATTGGTTATGCTCTGACAAGCGAAGTGTTTTTCTATGAGGCTGTCTGTTTTCCCTCAGTTCAGTTCGCGGTTCCAATGTCTGTTGTAGTTAAATAAAGCGTTCAGTTAAAACGCAACCTTCGTCCAATTTATGCCCGCACGAGCTATTTAACAGACTGAGGCGCGACTTCCAAAGGTGAACAGGTTTAGGTAGTCGTTTTAGTTTCTTCCTCATCCCTGCGTGGTTGCCTTGAAAATCCCTTGGGATTCATGAGGACTAGCATGCCTGTTTGGGGCTCCAAAGTGTCGAGTCTAAGCTGCATCCGAGGCCAGACTGCATATGGACACCCCGATTATCTGAAGCAGTCTTTCTCAAAGTCGGCCATTTTAAGAAGAGGGGGAAAAAAAAGACTTCAATTCCCAGAAGTCCCCAGCAACCAGCTTTGCTTTGCTTTGCTGCCTATGGAATTCTGGGAGTTGAAGTCCGCCCATCTTCTTAAAATGGCCGACTTTGGGAAAAAAAAAAACAACCACTGTATTATTATTATTATATCGCCCTGCCTCCAAAATGGTTGTGTTCGCTTAGCAAAGGGAAGGGAAAAGACATACCTGGAACTGATAAAGGGGATGCTCCCCGTAGATGTATTCGTATTTCCCGTTCACCTGCAAGGTGTACTCGTCCACGGGGTTTACTCTTTGGTGGCGGAAAATGGTGGCTTGCTTTTTGACAGCGTAGCTCATCAGGGTGATGGGGAACTCCTTCAGGGAAACCTGGAAGGTGAAACTCTCCTGCCAATCCAGGAAAAAATTAAAATAAATAAAATACATAAAATAAATAAAATACATAAAATAAATAAAATAAAATAAATAGAATAAATAGAATAAATAGAATAAATAAAATAAATAGAATAAATAAAATAAAATAAATAAAAATTATTTTTTAAAAAATAAAATAAAATCTGCTGCTTCCTCATTGGTACAGGCCGTTCCCAACTTACAACCATTCCTTTAGTGACCGTTCGAAGTTACAACAGCAAGGGAAAAAAAGCGACTGACGACTGTTTGTCACGCTTAACGACCGCTGTAGCTAATTCCCCCACGGTCGTGTTGTCAAAATTCAAACACTTGGTGACTGGTTCGTATTTATGACGGTCGTAGTGTCCTTTTGCGACCTCCTGACAAGCCAAGTCAATGGGGGAAGCCAGATTCACTTAAGAACCGTGGGACTGATTTCATAACTGCTGTGAGACACTTTCCCAGCTGTGGCAAGGAAGCTGGTAAAATGGGGGGGGGCAAAACTCACTTAACAAATGTCTCGTTTAGCAACATGAACGTTGGGCTCAATTGTGGTTGTAAGGTTGAAGGCCACCTGTATTTTGCTCGGGTTCAGCCCACGTGATTCCCCTGATCAGGTCTTTGCAAAACAAGCCAGGATTTGAGGAAGATGGGAGGTTAAGAAATATGAAAAAGGGAAGGGAAGGGAAGGGAGGGAAGGGAAGGAATAGGGAAAGGGAAGGGGAAGGGAAGGAATAGGGAAAGGGAAGGGGAAGGGAAGGAATAGGGGAAGGGAAGGGAAGGAAAGGGAGAGAAGGGAAGGAATAGGGGAAAGGAAAGGAAGGAATAGGGAAAGGGAAGGGAGAGGGAGAGGGAGGAAGGAAGAAGGAAGGAAAAAAAGGAAGGAGAGGGAGAAGAGGAAGGAAAGAAGAAAAAAGAAAAATAAGGAAGGAAGGAAGGAAAGAAGAAAGAAAGAAGAAAGAAAGAAAGAAAGAAAGAAAGAAAGAAAGAAAGAAAGAAAGAAAGAAAGAAAGAAAGAGAAAGAAAGAAAAGCATTTGAGATTTACACATTAGCAAGAGCATTGCCAGTTTCTCCCTTTGGCTGCCCAAGATCTCGGATACACACACACACACACACACAAGTCTTTGGACTTTTCCACACACTAAACATTCTCCATTCTCTTTCTCTACAGAGATTCAGGAAGCGTGCGGATTTTACCCCTCCGGATTGAAATTTGACGTTGACAAAAACGGTCTTCCCGGCCATGGGCAGAGTTTGTCTCCTCCCGAGCCCGCTCAGGGAGGGCTCCAGTTGAACTGGGAAGCTGTACTCCATCCAGTCCTTCCAGCTGAGCTGCTGGCGCTGGGCCGCTTTCTCCTCGCAGTACTCTTGCATTTGAACCCGGAAGTCGTCCACCTCGGGGTCAGCCAAGGAGTCAAACTCATGCAAACCTGAAGAGAGAAACAGGACGACCTTCTAAAAAAAAATGGCAGGGAGAAGTTGGTCCGTCTACCTACCGCGCCGGATCTTCTCCCTCGACAAGGTAGGCCTTTGGTATCCCTTCACGGCCCTAAGTTTCTAGTCCTCGTGAAAGCACGGAGGATTCCCTGGGCCAGAAGTCGTGCACGAGATAGGATTTGAACTACAAATCTTAGGAAATAGGTCCGTGATGGCGAACCTATGGCACGCGTGCCACAGGTGGCATGTGGAGCCATATCTGTGGGCACGTGAGCGTTACCCTAGCTTAGCTCCAGCATGAATGTGTATGCCAGCCAGTTGATTTTTGAGCCTTACGGGCCCACCGGAAATTGGGAAACGGGCGTTTCTGGCTTCCAGGGGGTTGGGGAAGGCAGTTTTAGTCCTCCCCAGGCTCCTAGAAAGCCTCTGGAGCTTGGGGAGGGCAAAAAACAGGCCTACCAGGCCCACCACGGGCCAAAAGCAGGGGGGGCGCGTGCATGCACAGGGGGCGGGGCACATTGAATTATGGGTGTGGGCATGCGCACGATCAACCCCCCGCACTCTCCCCCGCTTTGGACACGCGACGGCAAAAAGGTTAGCCATCCCTGAAACAGGTCAAACCTTTCTAGAAAGCTGCAAGGAAATCTGACTCCTGCTGTCTTGGTTGGTCCATTTCAGTTGGCAGGAAAGGTTTCGTTAGATGACCTGAGAGATTTTAGTTTTTTTCAGCCGCTTTCATGATTGATCATTATGGGCTACAATTGTCAATAATACTGTCTGTCTTCTCCTATTATACTGCGGGGTCCCTGGTGCTCTCCGAGCTTGGTGGTTTTCTTTCCAGACGTTTCAAAGCCCAGCTAAGTAACATCATCAGTGCTAGAAGGGAGTGGGGTTTGCAGAGAGGAGGAGGAGGAGAATTATGGGGTCCTTGGTGCTCTCTGAACTATAGTGGTTTTTCTTGCAGATGTTTCATTACCCAAACTAGGGAAGGAAGGAAGGAAGGAAAGAAAGAAAAAAGAGAAAGAGAAGGAAGGAAGGAAGGAAGGAAGGAAAGAAAGAAAAAAAGAGAAAGAGAAGGAAGGAGGGAAGGAAGGAAGGAAAGAGAAAGAAGGAAGGAAAGAAAGAAAGAAAGAAAGAAAGAAGGAGGGATGGAGGAAGGAAGGAAAGAAAGAAAGAAAGGAAGAGAAAGAAAGAGAAAGAAGGAAGGAAGGAAGGAGGGATGGAAGAAGGAAGGAAAGAAAGAAAGAAAGAAAGAAGGAAGGAAGGAAAGAAAGAAGGAAGGAAGAAGGAAGGAAGGAGGGATGGGGGAAGGAAGGAAGGAAGGAAGGAAGGAAGGAAGGAAGGAAGGAAGGAAAGAAATTTGTAGCTCAGGGTTGACATGAGGCGTCCATGGTGCTCTCTGAGCTGGCTTGTTTTTCTTTCAGACATTTTATTACCCAGCTAGGTAACATCATCAGTGCTAGAAGGAAGTGGGTTTGCCCTGATGATGTTACCTAAATGGGTCATGAAACGTCTCCAAGAAAGCCACCAAGCTCAGCGAGCACTAAGAACCCCACGATCCTCCTCCTCCTAGCTCTGATGATATTACCTGGATGGGTCATGAAACGTCTCCAAGAAAACCACCAAGCTGAGAGAGCACCAGGGACCCCGCTCCATAGTTCAACCCTGAGCTACCACTATATTCTGTCGGTACTTCGAATATACATTAATCAATCAAAACAAGGACTTAAAAACCCAGCCCTGAAAAAGAGCAGGGGGGGGGCCTCTCTTTCAGAGACATCGATAGATAAGCTTTCAATCAATTAAGGGGCTTCCACGAAGGATGAACAAACAATTAAGCAGGACGCAGGACATCCTCTGCCAAGGGGCACTTCCTGAATAACGGGAAGCAATACTTTTATTCCCTCCCACAGCCCTGCAGTGCAGGCCATTTTGCCCTTCCTCCCCACCTTTGCCAATCAGAAGGCTGATCTGGGAATTGAGCAGTTTCTTCGCCCGGTCCCCCTCGCGGGCCACCAAGCGTAAAACCGGTAGGAAAGGCTGGACGTCACAGAGCCGTCTCTGCTCGTCCTCCAGCTCCTGCAACTCGGCGGCTTGGTTGATGCAGGTGAAGACGTAGGAATCCGGGGTGCTGAGCATCTGGAAGAAGGGCTCATACTGGGCCTGGTGCCAGACCACCTGGAAGAAAATAGAGCCCTTAGTGCTGATATACCGCTTCACAATGCTTTTACAACCCCTCTCTAAGCGGTTTGTCCCCCCAAAAAAAATCTGGGTCCTCATTTTACCGACCATGGAAGGATGGAAGGCTGAGTCAACCTCAAGCCGGTCAGGATCGAACTCCTGGCAGTGGGCAGAGTCAGCCTGCAATACTGTATTCTAACCACTGTGCCACCACAGCATCCATCCATCCATCCATCCATCCTATCATCTACAGTACCTACCTA